TGGTTTTGTATGCATGTAGATGTACGGGGAATTCCAAGCGTTGACACCGTTGTTGCCGACGAGGGAGACCTATTTCCTCCGATACTGCGAGCACAACGCGGAGGAGGGGACGTGGGCCGTCGTCGACTTTCCTCCCGACGGTCTCCACCTCAACTTCCCGCCTTCTTTCCCTTACTACAAGAGGAGGCCTTCTGGTTGCATCATTCAAGACATGCCCAATGGCTATTCCAGGGTAAGTAAGTCGTTCGCGTTCATTCAACTTTTAATGCACGTAAAAATAAAGAAGTCATAAATAAAAGAAAAAAAATGAAAATTGGAATGGAAAAAAACAATTTTTTGCAGGTTACATGGATAGAACATGCTGAGATTGAAGGGGACACTGTGGGTACCAACCAAATTTTCAGAGATTTGGTGACTAGTGGTGAGGCATTTGGAGCGCGGCGGTGGCTGGCGGTGTTGCAGCGGCAATGCGAGAGGGTGGCTAGCCTCATGGCCCGAAATTTATCCGACCTCGGAGGTACGTAACTAATTAATTATACTTCCGACGTCCCGAAAAAAATACTCCATCCGTCCCATTAAAACCTTTCCCTTTTCTTTTTTTATCCGTCCCACAAAACCAGGGCCGGCTAATGCTAGGGCAAGGTGGTCATAGGTACAGGGCCCACTGAACACTGCCTAGGAAGGAGGATTAAAATTTACTCTGTAAAAAAATAGATCTACGATAAAAAAAATTCCCAAACCTCCCAATCGCCTCCTACAGACCAAAATCAAAGCAATGAAGTTTCCTTTGATTTTGAAGAATATGAATTCGATATTTCATTATTCTAATTAATATACGACAACAACCTAGTTGAATCTTACTACAGTAGGGTCTGGACATTATTTTTATTAAAATAATGTTAATTATTGTTAAATAAATTAATGAATAGACTTTATTTTATTATAACACAATGGCCCATTTTCTACCTGTCGTATAGGGCCCCTCATTTCTCAGAGACGGCCTTGCACAAAACACTTCTCATTTCTATTAAAAAGTCACTTTTACCCCTTACTTTTTCATACCCTAACTATCACATCATACTTTTTTATTAATAATCTATCCATCAAATCATACTTTTACCCATCACATCAAAGGACATTTTTGGAAATTCAATACCAAAATACACTCTCCTTAAATTCCTCCTAAAAAGCAAAAGTCTCATGTTTCATGGGACGGAGGAAGTAGAAATTAATTATATTTAGTACTCATATGATCAAACGATCTTTGTTCGATTTAATCTTATAGACCATGACTATTATGCAGTGATACCATCTCCAGAAGCAAGGAAGAACATGATGAACTTGGCACAAAGGATGATCAAAACATTCTGTGTTAACATAAGCACTTCGTTCGGGCAATCCTGGACGTCCATCTCGGCGGAATCCGCCGAGGACACGGTCCGAATCACCACGAGGAAAGTCACGGAACCAGGCCATCCCGTTGGCCTGGTTCTCAGTGCTGTCTCGACGACCTGGCTACCCTATCATCACTCCCACGTCTTCGATTTGCTCCGTGACGAACGCCATAGATCTCAGGTTTCAATTGAATTCTCGTTTCCTTTATATATATATATATATATATATATATATATATATATATATATATATATATATATATATATATATATATCAGACTCTTTGATTAATCAAGAACAAGAAAGAAACTAAACACTTTTTGTTGTGATTATTGATTATAACTTGTTTAATGAACAGTTGGATGCCCTTTCAAATGGGAATTCATTGCACGAGGTGGCTCACATTGCCAATGGCTCTCACCCTGGAAACTCTATCTCTCTCCTTCGCATCAATGTAAATTAAATGGCCTTTTTTTTTCAAAACATCGTTAAAAATAATTAATGTTAGCGTTTTGGATAGTTTTTTAATACTGTCTGACACAAATTAACTTTGAAAATGTTAAATGGTGCTTGAATAATAGGTGGCTAGCAACTCCTCCCAGGGTGTAGAGCTGATGCTGCAGGAGAGCTGCACCGATGATTCCGGAAGCCTAGTCGTCTACGCCACCATGGACGTGGAAGCCGTCCAGCTGGCAATGACTGGGGGCGACCCCTCCGCCGTCCCCCTTTTGCCCCTAGGCTTCGTCATCACCCCAATGCGGACCCGCACCGGCACCGACGAAAGCAGTTGCGACGGCTGCCTCCTCACCGTCGCACTCCAAGTCCTGGCCAGCTCCATCCCGACCGCCAAGCTCAGCCTCTCGAGCGTCACCGCCATCAACGACCACCTCTGCAGCACGGTGCAACAGATCAACGCCGCCCTCAGCAGTGCCTCGGAGCCGCTGGCCGTGGGCCCACCGCCGCCGGTCAAGTTGTCAAAGGATGCCTCGACACCGGGGTCTTAATAATTGATTGGTCAGAAGATTTAAATATTTTGTTGGTACGTAGATAGTATAGGGGCAGGAATTAATATATTGCGTGTGTGCATGTGCATGGGAGCAGGGTTTGCATGCAGGTAAATAAATGCATGAGAAGAGACAAGTAGGGAGCATTAGGTAAATTTTAAAAAAAAATAGTAGAATAACATTGATGACAGTTATCTGTAAATTAAATATTTAAAGATGCAGAATATAATTATTTGTGAATTTTGTGCGTTCACAAATGATTATATTCCGCGTATACAAATTTACAGACGATTGTCATTCGTGGTGTAGTGGGGTCCTGTCGGCCGGAGTGGGGCCATGGCGTGCCAATGAATTAATGAGAGCTGGGCTGGCATGGCAGAAGGGTAAGTTATGGTGAAGATGATGATGATGGTGTAGGGAAGTCAAGAGCGCACCAGATAAAATCCCTAGCTAGGGTGGTGGTTCGGGAATTGACTTCTTCTTCTTCTTTTGTAATGTTTGACCATTCTGTTTGTTTTTGTTTTTTGGTTTTTGTGTTTTGAATCAATTAATTAACTCTTTTAACTTTATTTTTACCGTACGTGTGGGATGCTTTGAATGAAGTTATTGAAGGAGCATGACATACTTAAAATGAAGAATAATTTATCTAAACATAACTAAAACATAATGACTTTCTCAAAATAAGATCATATGTTTTTATTTCTCAATGTAGGACCATTGGTCATTATATATTAATCATTATTCAACTAAATGTCCAACATCACTTCGAAATTATTCTCTCACTAGTCATTATTAAGTCATATTTAGAGAATAAAAAAATTTAAATCCTATATTATTAGAAAATGACTTATGTTCTAGTTCTATTCAGTGCAAATTTCACTATGAAATACCCCTAAATCCATTATATTATCTCCAATTACATTTTTTCGTCTCTGAAAATCTTTTTCCTTTTTTTATCATTCATCTAAAAAAAATTCTCATTTCTATTAAAAATTTAATTCACTTCTATTAATTCCTAAACTATCTATCATATTACATCTATTCACTATTAATCTATCTACAAAATCCTACTTTACCTATCACGATATTTTTGGAAACTCAACACCAAAATGCACTTCTGTTAAGTCTCTTAAAAATCACAATCTCCTATGTTTTTAGGGACGGAAGAAGTTTTCTTGCGGTCAATTGTTTTTACCAGTGTCCTATAATTAAATAAAATATTTATGATATATTAGTTTGATGAAATAATATTTTGAAAATATTTTATTAAACAAATTTAATAAAATTATTTTTATATCAATATATAATTAAAAATGATTTTTATTTAATTTGTGATCAAACTTTATTAATTTTAACGCCAAAAAAACGAGAAAGTAAATAAATATACTCACAAATGGAGCTAGTACATTATATTCTTGAAGTGTTATTACAAATGGCAAAAGAAAATTCACTTATGACAATCGGTAATAGTAAAAGTAGAACATAGATATACCAACGAGACATCTTATCCTATATCCTATATATCATATCTTATATATATATATATATATATATATATATATATGTATGTATGTATGTATGTATGTATGTATGTATATATGTATGTATGTATGTATGGATTTTGGCTCAGGTGTGAATGCAATCTAATGAAAGAAATAAGAATGATTCTGGTGCATTAGATTGGGAGATCTAAGGGTTAGGATTGCATCAAAATTAGGTGCATCAAGATGATTTGAAAATGCATCATGTCGAAATGCACCATAATCTTTTGAAAATGCACTATCTCAAAATTTGAGTGCAGAATGCAATTTGAGCCGCACGATGCATCAGATCCAAAGGCCAGATTTTATTCTTATTTCTTTCACCAAGGTGCATTCTCACTTGAACCAGCCCCTGTATGTATGTATGTATGTATGTATGTATGTATGTATGTAAAGTTGGATTTCTTTCTTGGAGTGTACATGTGGCATCCACATCTGTAAACATTAATGAGATGGATGAATTCCATTGATCCATTACATTATTTAAAATATATTTTAACATATTTTATTATATTACATTCAATTAATATTATATTTTGGTATTAAAAAACATTACTTAAATTATACTTTGTATAAAAAATATCATTTTTTTACAATTTTATAAATATATATCATCATTCTAAATTATACTCTCTCTCTATGTATATATATATATGTGTGTGGGTGTGTGTGTGTGTATACATACATAAATACATACACACAGAGAGAGAGAGACGCGCGCGCACACGCACGCACACACACATTTATTTTGCCACATATTCATTCTCTAATGATGTACCATTATTTAATTAGTCTATTTTTTATTTTAATGTTTTATTAATTAAAATTATTTTCTTTATTAATTAAAATTAATTTCTTTAGTCATTAGTTTTGTACAAAATTTTTGTTTTTTAATAAACATACCAATATATATTCCACCAGTTTAAAACATATTTTATTTGTATAATTAAATTATATCTATAAAATATTTTTTAACTTTATCCATGTTTTAACTTTCATTATTATCATATTGAATAACCATCAACCTTGTATAAAACCCTGTATTTCTAAGTATTTTATGGGGATCAGTACTAATATGGCTATTATTGTTTTCCAACGAGTATTAGTACTGCCTTACTGGTATCATTGGGCCATTCCGGCCCAGTTTTCCCAATCCAATTTAAAAGACTTCGGCCATCGCATCAAAGCCCAATACTCTCCTCCTGCCCTCTTCGTCGCCTTCTTTTCCCAGTGAAGAACGCATACCAGATTTGCTCCTGAATTTGGCGACCAGTTATCGGACAGGTGATACTTCTGATTTTCCGATCTATCTCGATAATTACATGAAGTTTTTTTTAGCGTTTTCGTTTCATAATTCGTGATATGTACGCAGGCGGCATGCCTTGCGTTGTTCTTCAAGCGATTTTCATCGATTCTCCATATTTGTTTGTTCGCGTGTCTCCTTCACCGCTCTTTGATTTATTTATTTATTTATTTTGCCGAAGGTTTTCGGATTAGCCATGGCTTTGCAAGCTGGAATGGGCTTATCTAGAATAGCCATTTTACTGGGAGCAGGTATCCGCGCACACTTATATATATTGTTTTTCCTGCAAATTTTAAGGTCTGTAGATTGATTAGATCTAACAATCAGATTCTGTTTTTTTTGTGTGATAGGGTACACCACTACTGTTCTTATCAATAACGGCAAATTATCTGAAATTCTGGGCGATCTTCAGGTACTTGAATTTATCTGAGCTCTCTCTTGTGATTGAAAGTTACTATTTGATTAATCAGCTTCATGTTATTAGGATTACCTTGTGCTATCTCCCGTGTGCTTCTTGCGCCTGTGCCTTACCTTGTTTATGATACTGTATGCTACTGTGTTTGCTTTGTGTGAGATCCCGTGCTTTTGTGTTTGAGCTGTGGTCTCTTCGAGATAGCCTCTCTTCTCCCAAGTTGGGTTAAAGTCTGCTTGGCACATGCACACACCCTCTCGTGACCCCACTCCTATGGAAACTGGGTTTTTTGTTGTTTTATGTTGAAATAACCGTCTTTACAACAATTTTCATGGTGTAATTTTTGAACAATGATTTGAATATGAGGCTTCTAGGCTCTAGCAATTATCAATAACGACCTACATACAAGATTTATTCAATTGGCCTTGCTAAATGATTGTAACAACAAATGCTTAGTTTAAGAGTAATTATCAGATAACACTCCCTCCATCCCAAAAAAAGCTCTTGATTTGAGTTGGCACAAATTTTTAGAAAAGTGAAATTGTGTGATTGAAAGGGATGTAGACGAGAGAGAAAGAACATGAGTCACAAAAAAGTTTCCAAAAATGAAAAGACAACCTTTTTTGGACATCCCGGAAAAAGAAGAAGAATCTTTTTTTGGGACAGAGGGAGTAAATTAAAGGTTTAACAATGATACTATTTCCAAATACTCAGATTAATAGTGTATAGTCCATTGTTCATGATAGCATAATTAATTCAGTGGTGGTATATTGGTGCATGTACTCCATAGTTAGAGTGAATTGTAGCCTCTTATGAAAACAGCTTGTACGACTTTGCCATAGTTATCACGGTGCCAAGTTGAGGCGCAGCACTGGGGTACTGCTAGGACGCCTAGTCGACTAGGCGACCGCCTAGGCAACAATTAGGCGACACATAATATAGGAGAATTGATATACGTTAAAAAAACTAATATAAATATATCAAATTATATATTGTAGTTGGTAAAGTTTAAATTTTTCTAATACATCAAAGTTTAACTACCAAAGTTACTTTTAAGTACTTACTTTAAAAAAACAAAGTTGAAAAAAGCGTTACCGGCTTAAGTTGGTAATGAATTGATCATTTAAAATTTTAAAAATTAAGCACCAAGTATTAATTAACTTACAAATAAACTAATTTATAAAGCATTAAAAAAACAAATCACTACAGCCGAGTGCATAAAACACTTAAAAAATAAATTAGTGGACTAAAAAAATAGAAGTACTGGACTAGGCGAGGCTAATGCGACTCCAAGGCGACGCCTAGGCGGGGAAAGTATGTGATTTGCATTTACATAGAAAGTTTGCACTCTTGGCTGCAATAGTCAATTGTATCACTTTTATGTATTAGACTATGAATTAACCAGTATTCTAAAATCCCTGCCTAACTCCGCTTAGCCCCACTCAGGAACTAGTCCTCCTTTAGCTGCTTGTGGTTTATTCTGCTCCAGAGCACCTATGGCGCGACTATTCCCTCCCCACATGGGAATAACAGACGTTTTAGTAACATTAGTATTAAGTGACAGGTTTTAACTTTGTGTGCATGCTTCCTTTGATGCAGAATTTTGTGAAAAGTCATGAGGGTTCAGGGGAAGGTGGAGAAACTGATGCAGCTCTTGCTGCGCAGGTAATTTACTCCAAAAGCATCATTCAGCAAATGTTGTTTGTGAAGTAACTGGTGCGGCGTGAAAATTCTATATTTCTAGTTTACGGTTTACCCTCTGTCATGTTTTTGATTCTTTTTTCAAGATCACTACATTGTCTGGAAACTGGAAACATCTTCAATACATTTTTTTCATTTACAGTGGCTAAACATTTTCGTACCTAATTATGCACTCTGTATCACTTAAGTAGTGAAATATTTCTCTGTTTCCTGATCGGGAGGTAATCTTGGTTAAGTGCTGATTGTACCTTACATCATGTACTTTTCAGAACAAATATTTTTTCGAGGTTGAGCATTTTAGATGACGTATAGCATGTAGATGGGTGGTACTGTGATAGTTGTCATTATATGTTAGATGGCTCTTGATAGTGATGTTGATTTAGTGCATTCTCAACATTACTGCTGCATGTGTATTTCTAAATGTATGCTCTCGCCCTGTAGTCTTTCTGTCTTGAACATGACTTTATTGCTATGCAGGTTCGTCGTTTAGCCATGGAGGTTCGGTCATTGGTCTCGGAAAGACGCATTACTGTTCTCAGTGGGGGTTCAAGTGGTATTTTTTTCATATAGTAACGACCATCAAATTTCTAACATGTTATTTCATTTTATAAAAAGTGAAAATTTAAATGGCTCATTCACTTAATGATGAGCTTCTGCATATTTGTTTTCCTCGTGATTCTACAGTTTTCATTGTATGATCTAAATATATTCCTATTCCACTCTCTGTTAGGTAACGTAACAAATCTTGTGGTTCCAATTGCTGCTTTAGGGGCCCTAGGTTATGGATACATGTGGATTAAGGTGAATTCTAAAATTCTATTTACTGTGGAGTACTTGAGTTTTCAACAACACCACTCAACTCAAGCTTAAATACTTAACTCTCATGTGCACAGTACCTTGTATCTCAACTACCCTTTATCAGAAGTGAACCAATAACCTTTTGATTCATTTACCCAATGATTCTATATTTACTTCCCCTGGAATATGTTTTTTGTTGTTTTATGACACGTTTTCTAGTTTGATATTTTTAAAAATCTTATCCACATTATGTTTGCAGGGAATCAAATTCTCTGATCTTATGTATGTAACAAAGAGTAGTATGGCAAATGCAGTTTCCAACTTAACCAAACATCTTCAGCATGTTTCTGATGCCCTAGCTGTGAGTGTCATTAACCTCTTGCCAACTACACTGTCTTCTCTCCATTGTGCTCTACCTATGTTTCTGATCTATGTGGTTTGAGTGTCTTGATTGCATCAATTAATCTTTAGAACTCACTAGCAATCAGGCAGGCAGGTTATTGAGTATCATTCTTGTTGCAATTAGCTGTCACTGTTTCACGCCCTCAAGTTGGTGCCTTACTAGTATAAGCACTTAACCAACTAAACAAACATAAACCCCTCATATAAACATTTTGTTTGAAAGTTAAAATTTCAGATGCTTGTCCTGTGTTCAATGAATACATGCCAGACACACTTATATACTAAACTGAACAAAATGCCATTTTCTGTTTGGTTTTGTACAAAATCATTGAACCAAAATCTTTTGCCCATGTCGACCAATGTAGTCCATCATCTGCTATTTCCATTTGTACAAGAATTTCATGAGACAGATTTTATTTTCGTGACATGGTGATCCATATATTTCTCTTATCTTTCTTTGGTAGGATCTAAAGTATGCCGTGTATGTAGACATTTATCTGTGGGATACTGGGATCTGTCCCCAAGTTCAGAAATCAGTGTGCAACTAATAACTTACACTTTGTTTAGGCAACGAAGAGACATTTGACACAAAGAATTGAGAATGTAGATGGGAAACTGGATGACCAGATTGAAATGTCCAAACAAATTAGAGATGAGGTAAATTCACAACAATTTTTTTATTTACAGTTATAATTTCTCACTTGAATTTTTCAACCTCATCTATATGATCTGTTGTATAAATATGTTCACCTCATTTCTTATCCTGAGCATGTCCTTTCATGATTTAACTGTGAAACGAAGCGGGAAGATTAATTCATATTATGAATACTCATCATATTATAACTTAAGTGCTGTAATTTGTGGAGCAGGTTAATGATGCACGTGGTGATATTTTTAAAATTGATAATGAGGTAGATGCAATACAAATGATGCTGTCTGGCCTGGTCAGTAATTTATTTTTGTTTTGTTTTGTTAGTGTCATGTAAAATTTCCAGTCAAGCATATTACCGTATCACATTTTTTTGGATTAATTCCAAGCATACTGATTTTTGTTGTGTTATTGATTTGAATAATAGGATGGCAGGCTCCTTTCCTTGGAAGAAAAGCAGGTGAACTAATTATTTTTTATATTATGAAACAATTTACATTAACAACTCTTAAGTATCAATTTGGGCCATGGAAAATACTATTACAAATGTACAATAAAATATTTTGGATAGCACATCTGAAATTTAAAGAAAAGAAAATTTGAGGGAAAATAAATTTACTTTTTTTTTCCTTCTAACTAACCGATTTTACTCCCTTTGGACCCTTAGTCTTTCTTTTAATTTTTAGGTGAAAAATATGTGGTTCATATTCTTTTATTCTCTTCTACATAAATCCCTACCACAATTTTATTTTTTTAAACTTCGTCTCAAGTCAAATCCATAACATGAAATGGGGAAGATAGAGAATTTACTTCTTTTGAGTATATATAGAACACAAATCTAAACAAATGTCAAATTTGAACATTAATTATTTCTCATTACCATTTGCATTTGCCAAGGTTAATCCAAACATGAGAATATATTAGCGGTTTTTCGTTTTCCTAGCATTTTTTGATACCCCAAGTCTAAAACACTTGGTGGTTTTCTGCAATCCTTATTTTCTGCTTGGGGGTTGGTAGGTCAAATATTAATGTTGGCCTGATATTTTGATGAGTATACTAATCATTGCCATTTACAATTTGTTGTGGCAACAGGAGATTGCAAATGTTGGTGTTATGTATTTATGTGGTAGGGTCAATGGAAGTAGAGTGAAAATGCCCGAAAAACTGCAGGTGCACACCAATGACTTCTCTGTAGAATTAAAATCACACATTTTTTTCTTCAAAAAAAAAATCACACATTTTTTATTGCCTCTCGACTTGGGTTGCTACTTGTTACTGCATTACTATTTGCTGCTGCAACCCAATGTTTTGTGCCTCTGTTTGCAGGAACATCTTCGAGTTGGTATCTCAGCGCATTCTGTCACGGTAAGTTTTCTAGACAAACTATTCACGTGGTGAAAAGTAAAAGGGATAATCAGAGGGGATGTTTCTTGTTTTGTCCTCCCTCCATTCTTATGAATACTTCTTATAGTTACTATTCCATAAGGTTGAACTTTATACGGAGTACATTTTATTTGCTTTTTTTACTCATTTGATCAAAAAATATAGTCATGTCCTATTTTGTTTTGTAGAACTTTTGATTGAACTTTTAAACATAAAAAAATTAATATTTAATTCTACACCAATTGAGTGGAAAATAACTTCATTCAAATGTCGTAAGCTTTTATGAACAGTTTTTTGAGAGAAGGAGAAAATGTAAAAAGCATTCCCCACTTGCGGAACTGGATTGGGTAGTTTATTTTATAAAAATGAAAATTGGTAGCTGGTTGTGACCTTTACACTATGTTTGTTCAAGGAATTTAAAAGGGAAAAGAAAATGAGATGGAAAACAATTTTTTTGTTTGGTTAGAGAGGAAAAGAAAAGAATTGTGAAAGGAAAAGAAAATGAGAAGTCAAAATATACTAAACAAGGGAATACAAAAGTCCTCCTGTTTTAGTGAGGAAAATGAGAGAAAATAATTTTCTTTTCTTTTCCTTCCTAATTCCTTGAATCAAACATAGTTTTAGTGAAGTTGGTGCCATATACGTCTCCCCTTTATTTCAGAGCCGCAAAGGCATTATGAGTGTGGTGGAGCCGGAGTCTGGTAAGCTCATTACAGATGGCAGCACCCAAGATGTTTCTCCCAAGTCTGTTGATCCAGTGAGAAGCGTGATGAGGTATGACTAATCACATTGCCATAGGCTTCATTTGGTACTCTACTCCCGCTTACTGCAAACACAAAATAATTAAAATACCAGAACGTCATGGTTAGTTTCATTATCGAACCTTCTTTGTTGGAAAATCAGTGTTTGTTATAATAAAAAAAACTTTTACCGACATTGAGATAAAAGACACTTCTGCCCTCAGCCTTGTTCCCCAACTAGAGGTCCACTATTTACGCGGTGCCACCAGAAATGGAAACATAACAAGCAAGCACCAACAGTGGCAAAAACCAACACTTGTCACGGTTCAATACCAGTGACCTTAAGAGCAAAAAACCGAGCGAAGTCCCACAAAACGTAGGACCAGGGGCCTTAAGTCTGTAAACAACACACACTTGCTGCGGTTCCAATCAATCACACTAGTATGATGTGACTGTGGTGTTCATTGATTGAGAAGGGCAATTGTGACTTTTGTTTCCTTTCCCTTTCCCTTTTGACAGGACGGCATCAATGAAGTGCTGCTGATTAAGAGCTTCTACAATTGTTATTAAGTGTCTTTACAAGTATGACTTTAATAAAAAGTGGTTTGGTTTTGAATAGTCAGTCGGTTATCTTTTTGTTAATATTAGGACTGTCACCCCTAAACGAAGTCTGTGCATTCATTCTGTATTTGAGTCTTCACAATTAACCACACAAAGTATTAACTATACTTAATTATTCCATCATAGGGATTGTATTTCCTGTCCTGATTTAACTGCTACACTTTCCTTTTTGTGATGTTCCAAAAAAAAAAAATCAAACTTATTTTTTAAAAAAGTAAAGAATATGTGGTCTTCAATCCTTCTTTTTGTTTTAAAACTCATTTTAATTGCCCGCGTTTTATTTTTCCGTACTTTCTTTAAACTAAATGAAGTTAAACCGTCTAGAATTAACCGGGAAAGAGGGAGTAAATTTCTTTTTGAATGTTTTGTGTTTTCTTTTGTGATGACAGGCTTTAATCTCATTAAAAAAAAATCTTATTATTTTTAACATAATTTTTTCTAGTTTTAAAAAGTAGTAGTTGGAAGAAAATGTGCTACTCCGTAGTGTTTTACCATGAGTATGTGTTTTGGTTTTTAGCTGTAAAAGATGTCATACAAGTTGAATTTGTTTACTTTAGTTAACTTATACTCCGTAATACTCCTATAATTGTACTCCGTATATTCTTACTCCTTCCGTCCACAAATAAATTTTACGTTTACTATTCACAGGGTCAAATTTTATTTATTTTGTTGGTTTATTTTCGTCATCCATTTGATAAAATAATAGTCATCACTTCTAGTTTTGTAGATCTTTTGATATAATTTTTAATATGTAATTTTTATTTTTTAATTCTACACCATTTTTCATATAAAATGATTTGAAAATAACTTCAGTCAAACATCGTAATGCGTAATGTAAAGTTTAATTTTGGACGGAGGGAGTATATTTTATGGTTCCCACTTAAAGACAAATGTCATAATAATGATAATAATTATGCAGTATTATTATGCGTTTGACCTATAAAATCCCAATCAAATGATTGGTTTTATAAAACATGCGCCCCATCTTGAGGCCCCTCTCAGACTCGGTCGGGCGACTATTGAGATGAGTTAAATTGAAGTTTGATCGAAAATTTTTAGTAAATAGTAGAACATGCACTTGATAATTGCCGAGATCATATGTTTAGTATAATTTTCTCTCAATGCAGTTGATAGGTATCAAACTTTGATCTTACGCTTTGGTATTCTTTGTATTTGTAAATTGCGCAACATCGGCTAAATGATTGGTTTTATAGTGTTGTTTGTGAGGACTAGACTTTTCGTTACGAGTTCTTGCCAACATATTCCTCGCATCATAGTTAAATTTATTTTTTTGATTTTACAAAATTCAACAATAATTAAAAGAGAAAGGATTATTTCTCCCTTTGTCCTAATTTATGTCGTGTGCTTCGCTTTATGATGTTTGACTGAGATTATTTTTAAATTATTTTCTATAAAAATGACATAAAATTTAAAAATAAAAAATACATATTTAAAAACTACTCCCTCCGTTCTAATTTATAATGTCTGTTTTGGTTTACGATGTTTGACTGAAATTATTTTCAGATCATATGATATGACAAATGGTATAGAGTTAAAAAAATAAAAATTACATATTAAAATACTACATCAAAAGATCTACAAAATTAGTAGTGACAATAGTACTTTATTTTATAAAATTGCTAATGAAAATAAATAAAGAAAGTGGATGAAGTTTGACTATGTAAATAGTAAACATGCACTATAAATTGGGATGGAGAGAGTATATGAAAAGATCTAGAAAGCTAGTAGTAAGCTGACTACATCATTTTATTAAAGCATTAACAAAAATAGGGAAAATAGGGGTAAGCAAAAATTTACTAGGGTATTTTTTGAGCAAAAATCACAGGGAATATGTTTGGAATTGGATTGGGAGAGAAGGGTTAGGTGATAGTTGGGGGATGAGAAGATTGATGATGGGAATGATGATGTGGGCGGTTATATTATACTCCCTCCGTTCTCAAAAATACTTCCTCTTTTATTTTTTCCACTTCCAACAAAACACTTCCCTTTTCTATTAAAAAACCACTTTTACCCTTACTTTTTCATATCCTACCTATCACATCATACTTTTTCTCTAATAATCTATCCATCACATCTTACTTTTACCTATCACATCAGGGGCAAAATTAGAAATCAACTATAATTTAACACTTCCTTATTTTTGCCCCAAATCCAAATGGGAAGTGTTTTTCCAAACGGATGGAGTATTTAGTTCAGAAATATTTTTACCATTTGACTTTTCTTGGTCAAAGTTTGTAAACTTTGACTATGATATGTAGAAAAAATACAATGTATTATGGTATAATTTTAATATGAATATAATCATTTTGAAATATAGTTTTCAAATATTAAATTTTTATAAAATATATCCATGTATAAATAAAGATATTAGTGGTCAAAGTGCGATCTTGGTGACCGTAAAAAGTCAAATGGGAAGAACATTTCTGGGCGGAAGGAGTAAATTATTAGGTGGTTCTTGGGAACAATTAAGTCTGCCCAAAAGATTGTGGATTTCCACCCCCTCCCTGTCTTATCGAATCTCCACCCACATTCATATCTCTACCATTAATCAATGCATCATTATTAAAATATTGCTAACTCCATTTTAAAATATTTACCACATTTCTTTTTCAACCATCACAGAAATTTTTATTTGTTTGTAAGTTTTTATTGATTATGTGATAAAATAAAATATTTTTGTCACTTTTTTTTTTGTATAACTTTAACATAAATATAAAGTTTGAAACCCGATTTGAAGTTGGGTATTTCTAGTGCTCTAATATTTTCGATAAAATTTTAATAATATATCTTTGAACATGTAAACATTAAATACTTTTTTTAGGATTTTCTTTTTTGCACAAATTAAGTTACAATAATGCCAATCAAGTTTAAATTAAAGCAGATGGGACCAAAAATAAACAAAGAATGAAACAAATCCACATGGAAACAAGCATTGCCTTTAATGAATGTATGGTTGGACTCATGTTACATTCCCAGCCAGTTATATACGAATCTTGGAATCATATCCATTCATTCACTTCTCAATTCTGTGGCCAATTTCAATCTATTGGTCATAATCATATCTTTACTTAGGCACATTCCCCTTTTGATTGAGGTTCATGTTAATTTTATAAACATCATTACATAAAATAGTTATGGATTAAGCTATTTGTATACCAAAATTTGTATCTCATTTTGTACCTCAAATACATGCACTGACATTTTGTGCTAGTGTGGTGTTAATGTGATGATTTACATTGGCAAAAATGGCACTGTAATTTTTTTTTAATTGAACTAACATTTCTGCCCAACTGAACCGTCAAAATGTTCAGTTACGAGCATATGAAAAAGAAGTCCATACTTCACGTGTGGACCTTAATTAGTACCACAATAACATAACTCATTTATAAATTAGTCCTTTCTATTTTTTTCTATTTTTACTTAGATTGAGTGACTAAAATTTGTCACACATTTAATTAGATGGCTTCAATCATATATGTTGAGTACATATAAAGTGCAAACACACATTCCTCTTTTGGCAGGAAAAGTAGCCACAGTGAGCTTCATACATTCTTAAAGTCAACTTCTCCATGTTAATGCATGTTGCAAAATGCTAAAGGCATCCATTATATTGATATATTCTTTAAGTGTAGTTCAAGTCAACTTTTTCCCCCAATTTTGTTACACTTCCATCACATAATATTCCATGTACATGTACAAAGTTCTCTTTATAAGTTCTAGTATAAAAAAATTTATATGATTGGAAAAACAAATACCCGAAAAAAGTAATTTTACATCTCGCAACGATTTGATGAAAATTATTGAATGTACTGAGAAATGAAAATCTTTTACTTCGTGTTAAACTACTACTTCAACCGTTATACGAGTATGCATAAAACAATAAGTGATTTGATTGCATTTTTAAACAAAAACCAGTAGAATTATATAAGGCGAAACAAATATGGTTCGACCTTATTAATTAGTTTGATCTTGTTATGAAGAGAGAGAACTAATGTGGATCGCATACTTATTTCAATAAATTAATTACAAGAGAAGGGTAATTGCTAGAACTTGTTTTGAGATAAACAACAAAAAGTGCAAGAATTATTGTGAGATAAAAAGTGTAGTGAGTTAAAAATAGTATAACTTCTTCTTCCAAAAAAATCCACAATTTTCATTTGTAATACAACACTACATGCAATAGATTATAATTTCCTCTGAATATAAAAGGTTATACAGTTTATATAACTTCTCTCTCGTGTGCATAATTCCAAGCGATCAATTTAACTTGTTTTAATAATCACATCTGATGAAACGAGAAATCTTAGTTTTGGGTGAAAAATTATTCAATAAAGCTATGCATACACCAAAATGGTGTACCTTATTTGTGGACCAAGCAAACACAAATACTAAGTGTCTGTGATCACAAGCACTTGGTATGTGTGTTTACCTACTGTACAAATAGGATCACCATTTTAGTATATTCTTATTAACATGTCCCGAAATTATTAGGAACACTTTCTATATTCACTAACATTATATGTTTGCTATCAAAATCACTCCTTCCATCATGAAATGAAAATTTAGTTAACTATTGATATAGGTAAATTTTAGACTCTTTCCATTTGATTTAATCAAAAATCATAAACCAAATGATAACGGGTAACAATCAATTTGAGACAAAGGTAATATATATAACATACACCTTTCATCTCTAATTTGATTACAAATTAGGAGTTACAAGTCAAAACTTCTCATCGATCATTTTATTTATAAATTGTTACACCAATAAGAAACAAAAATTACGGAGTACATATTAAACACTACGTCAAAAGTGCTACAAAACGAAAAGTAACAAGAATATTTTATTTTATAAATAATCAATGAAATCACACAAATAAACAAAAGTTATCGAGAAGAAATATAAGAAAAAATTATAATCTAATTTGAGACAGATGAAATATACTATACGAAGTATTTAATATTTTATTGAAATGATGTTATTAGTCTAAGGATTATATGCTAAATTTGATATCATGTGTTTCATATATATACATATATAGTCGTTAATTAAATCATAGAGATACTTACATTATTATTTGTCAATATATTAAATTCCAATATCAAAATCTAATACTCCCTCGATAAATTTTATTTATTTATTTATTTTGGTTGACTATTTGATAAAATAAAATATATTCTTATCGCATTTTGTTTTATAAAACTTTTGATA